GCAAATTTTTTGATAGTTGCTTAATTATAATTTGTAGCAATTTTCTTAGAAGAAATATCCATTCTATTATAGTTGGACATTTTTGAATATTTTACATAATACCATTGCATTGCATGTGGCACTCATGACAGCAAGTATAAGTGAAGTATTTGTAGCTATTGTCGCTCTATTTGGTAGACCGGCACCCAATAAATTACCAACCCTGTTTGAAGCTGCTACAGCTAAACTATGTGGTATCTGATATAATATCAGTGCAATTGTAAGAATTAATCGATGACTTGCTAAAGATACAATTCCAAAATAACCCTCTAGTAATGCAAGTTTCATGAATGTTGACCAATCTTTGAAGCTTAAATGTGATATTCTCCCCAAGTATCATATCTATCAATGTATTTTATATAAAGGAAAGTGAGAAATAACATCAACCAATTTGTTAATATAGTAGCAATTGGTGTACCAATGTAACCAAGTGAGAATGGCTCCCAAATAAGAATATAATTGAGGAAATATTTATTGGACAACATAATACAAAAACATATGTTGTGCTTTCAGCCTAATAACAAAAGAAAATTGAATTATAAAATATAAATTTATGAATTATTATTAAAAAAATTTTTTTTTTACTTTGACACTGCAAAAACTTTTCTAAGCACCAAAAAATAAGAGCTGGTGGTGCATAATGTGATAATTCTGCATCTTGTCCCAAATCAATCCAAATATTTTCAGATACTAGCCAAATAATTTCTATAGATATGAATTCAAGCATCATTATTATAATTGGTTGTTGTGTGTAAATACTAGCCATTTTCGGGTTTCCTGATGTATAGCCCTGTAGACAAAGTGTATTCAATACTGCTATTGCCCCAAATCCTATTGACCAACAAGTAATTGCAGCAAACTAACAAATTATTAATATGACATGTATGATTTTAATTTACCATAGTTTTTAAAGTGAGCCAGCTAATTCTGCCTGCCTCTTTTGCAGTTTTAAGGCAAGATTGCATTATAATTAATATTATAATCATTACATTTGGCTTTTTTTATTATTTTTATTAAATCTTACCAGATGTCCTATAAAAAATACATTGGTAACTTGTAAAACTTGTAGAAACAAAAATGCCCAAAGGGCATGAAATACTTTTTTGAGAAGATAAATTGCTTCATGAGCACTAAAAGTTTTTATTTCAATTATATTATTCAGTTGAATACTGGGGCCAACGTATTAATATTTTAAGTTAAAAGTGTTTTAAATATTATAAACTAAGAGTCTTTAATATTATGAACTTGACATGTTGTAGTTCATCTGCAGTAAAGGTCCGAACTTTTTTTTGATATAATTAGATGCTCACCATAGAAATCTCTGTTCTTCAACTCTCCTTGCTTCTCATTGCTGATAGATAATTATAACTTGTAAATCTATAAGTACTACGAAAAAAAAAAGTATGTTGTAAAAGGGCAATTAAGTTGGGCTGTGTCAGAATAGTTACTGGGCCGATGTATAATAACTTACTACTCTAAAATATTAATACTAATTACACCACTTTAACCAGAACACTATAACTACTTTTACCAAACCTTAATATTAGTAAGGCAACAATTAAGGCATGGAAAAACTTGGTCTGAGTAACCAGGGTTATTTGGATTGGTAGTGATAGTGTTAAACTTAGATAAGTATGCTATGATCTTTCTTTAATAATGATTCTACTCTTTCTAGCACTTTCGTTAATACTTTAGATCCATCTTTTCATAGGTACTGCAGCTAGATCCCATGATCAAAATTGGCCAATCAGAATTGTGGTACAAGGTCACAGTATCACAAGGTCATAGTTTAGGTAAAATCATGTTTATCACAAATTTAATTAGAGTTGACTTATATATATAAGGGGTTATATTACTAATGCAATATCTTTTTCTTACTAAGTATGACAATCAATGTACAATAGTCATAGTGACAAGATAATGCGAAATTAATGAACAATTTCTAATAGTAAGGGTATTATGGTTTATAGACAAGCACTTCTACTCTAATTTTAAAGACTTTGGGGACTCAAGGGTTATTGTTTTGTAAAAATACTTTTTCAAACTCATTTAGTTTTTTTTATTTAAGGTAATTTGTTGTTGCTTATATACATTATTTTTATATATAATGAGATATCTAATATCTTACTAATATCTAATATATTGATGATATCTAATATCTTCGTAATCTTTATTATCTTAGTTATCCTTGCTATCTGAGAGATAACTATTATATTGCTAATAATTGGGATATCAAAGATCTCTAGAATTACAAAAATTTTCATAATTTCAAGAATTTCTGAGACTTGTATTACTAATAGTTCTTAAAACTGCAGTGATTGGCAAATATTATTTTTTCTTTTTACAATATATATAAGAGTAAAAGAATTATTTGTATTATATTATTGCAAATATATATTCATTTAATATGCAATTAATTAGTTTTATTATTGTATGCAAATCAGGAAATACTTTTCTAAACCCTATTGTTAGATAACAATAACCCTAACAAATCTATATTTGTTAGTACAATTTTGAAAAACAATAACAAAAAAATATATATTAATAAAGATAACAAGTTAAATACTTGTTATAGTTAAACAAATCTCATAAAATTTTTTTTAAATTGTATTATAAATTTGTTTTTTAATTTTAAATTATAAAAGAAGTTTGCTTTTTAGAAATTTTTTTAAAGTTGTATAAATTTCAACTTGCTTTATAATTATGTTATTAGAAAAAATTGTGCTTTACCTAAATTATATGATGCTACTTAGAAGATTACAATTTTTACTTTGAGGGTAAAATGGCAAATGATATACAAATTAATGATCATTAAATATCAAATATGAAAACTATAATGATTACCAATAATTTTGTAATATATATTAATTTTCTTTGGCTATTAATCATCTTACACAAAGTAGGATTTTTTACTAAGCAAATAGAATTTTATCTACTAAGTAAAGTTATAGAAAATACTATTTTTTAGATACTTTCAAATTTTAATATGATTTGATTAACTTTTTTTAATTGGCTTTTATATTTTATATTTTGACGCAGAAGATATATTTTCTGTATCAAGACAAATAATATGAATACTAATTTAAAAAAAGTTAGCCAAATTGCACCAAACTTTGAAAATATCTAAAAAAATAGTATTTTCAATAACTTTACTTAGTAGACAAAATTTGATTTGCTTAGTAAAAAATTCTGTTTTCTTGTAATATACATCAGGAAAAAAAAACAAAGAGTTATATATCAATTGGTAACCAAAGAATATATAATGATATAAATCACTCCTGCTGATTTATAATGATTGTGATACTAATCGATATATAACGAAAAGAATATAAATCGATATATAACTGAAGCAATTATAATTGATATATAACCTAAATGATTAGAATCGTGTTAGGTAATTTATCGATTATAATCACTTAGGTTATATATCGATTATAATCGATAGATAGCCATAAGCTGATTATAATCGATATGTACTGCTATACTCATAATATTAGAATCGATATACACAAATCATTATATTAAATATTACAGCGATTCACTTTTATATTTATCAACTTAAAGCAAATAAAATTTATATATTTAAATTGAATACAATTTATTTTATACATATGAGATATATTTTGCATACAATATATAAAAAATTACAAAAAAAACAACGCCACTAAGAGATCCCAAACAATTCGTCCTGTGCATTCTGCAAAAGAATTAAAGAATTACTTTGGGACAGGGGAGTTGTATTGAGGTCAGGTTCAGTATTGGAATTGGCCTGCATTAATTGCATTTGTGTTGATTGTTCAGCTTCGTGAGAGCCTGTAGCAAGCTTATTATTAATGATTGTGTTGGCTGATTCTTGATTAGGACCGCCATTATCAAAGTCATTCTAGTATAATAAAGGTTAATATTTATTTTGTAGTTACAATCGATATGTTACAAATACTTACCAAATAGCGCACCATGCGACGCTTAATTCGATTTTCGCTACAGACGAGATTTTTCGATTGGGGATTTAATATAATATCACACATAGCTAGTGTGAAGGCACAATGATGGTTTGTGAGAGTAGGGCAGCAGCTGTGCTAAATGCAGTTCTTGCAATAATTGCAATCCAAAAAACACCTTTATCATCTTGCTCATAGAGCACACAATAGCAATCGTACACTTCTTGGCTTTGCTTCCATCTTACTATATCCTCAGTACTAACATTGCTTCTGAGGTGAGAAAGCCTTTCACGACCAAATACACTCCAAATTGCCGAACGTATATTCTGCAACGCTGAACTACACAGATTCTTCATTTTTTGTAAGAGCTATTGGAAATTGAGCACCATAAAAAATGCTTAGACCTATTGAAAACGATTGATAACGATATAAAATGATATACACAGGTATCAAATATTATTGCTTACCTGAGAATACCACACACCATAAAACCGGTTTGCAAAATCGTTAGCACTTAAGTTCACTATGAATTCAGAGAACTTTTCATTCAGGTAGTCCTTGAGAAACTCTTTTATTTCATCTTGAGTAAGATATATTACACGTAGAAAAAGGCATTTGACAATGCTAATATATACTTCCTGTAAAAATGTAAAAACATAAGCGCTCAAAATATGCCAAAAAAAAAAGTGCTCAGAATATGCCAAAAAAAAAAGTGCTCAAAATATGCCCTTGCTTTCTATAATACTTATGCCCCACACTTTGGGCGAAAGATCCTCATCTTGAATGCCTTGAGTGCTTTGAACGTTTCTGTACCGTATTTTATTCCCCAGATCTTGAAAATCATCGCTTAACTGCCTGATCAGGAGGTATATTTGGTGGTTTTGAGTGAAAAGACGTTCTTTGTTCTCAGCTTCACGACGACGATAACTTAAACAAGCTCAAAAAGGTAACAAAAAAAAAAAGTTTCAAAAAAAAAAAAATTTAGATCAAAAGATCGATATTCAAAAATCAAAAAAAAAAAAAAACTTTTTATACCATCAAGATTATGTGAATGATTTTGATTGGAAGATCGATAATCAGGTGATACCGATCTTCCATGTGTTTGCTGCGGTGATGACGATTACGATGCACAAGAGGTAGGTTGAGAAGGCGATAGTTGCCTAGAATAAGTTTGCTGGACAGATTGTCTGAAAGGTGATGGTTGCCTGGAAGAAGTTTGTTGGGCAGATTGTTTAGATTGTCTGGATTGTCTTGATTGGGTTGGAAGGGATGATTGACGTTGCCTACTTCTACCACTCATTACAAAAAAAGTATTATATGCACTTCTTATAGATCTAGTAGATTTGTCAGAATCAGAGTCATCGTTATAAGATGGTTGAGATAGTTAATGAGAACCAGCGATATCATTTGAATTATAATGAGAGCAGGTTGTATTGGTAGGGACAGCCAGATAAGAAGAAGGTGGGTTGTTATTAGAGTTATTTTCTATTTTCAAAATTTTCAAAAAGTTATCTTTCAGGTACTAAAGCGATTAGACTTATATATCTAAAAAAAAAGCGTTAAACAATTAGTAATAAAAATAAATATCTAATGATGTTAATCGTTGTATGAAAATTAATAAAAAAAGTATACTTATCTCATTTGTGTTTTTGTCATTGCACTTGTCATGACAATCGCTGAGATTTAACACATATATACGTATGATTTCTTGCTGAGATTTTTAAATTTGAAATATCATTAACGACATAATATAAAGTTTATTTTTACGCATTATTTAATTAATTGTTATGTTTTGTTGTTTATATAAAAAAATTGATTAATATCG